TTCAAGACTATGGATTTGAATTTTGACTCTATAGCCTTGGTTGGTGTGAGGATACAAAGATAATCTTTTAGCAACAACACTTTTGAAAATGGTAGAATGTTAGTTACATGGAAAGCTAGCCTTTAGAGATGGTTATCAGATAAATATGATATTATTTTTTTTAAGTATCTGGATTAATAAATTAGCCAGTATTTGATGACCTGAAATGACCAGGCACAGTGCTAGGCACTCAGTGAATTCCCAAATAACTCTCTGGAGGCCGTTCTCAAAGAGCTTCTGAGCAGGACAGGGGGGTTAAAAATACATATAAATAATTTATTTCAAGGAAGGATGTAATAAGTGCATGAGAATACCATTGGCGTTCAATGGAGAAAACATTCCTTTTAAAAAAGGAGTAAAGGAAGACATTATGGATGTGGTGGCATTTGGGGACCTTAAAGAAGAGCGTGTTTTCCCCTGACAAGCCAGCAGTCGGGGGTCGTGGGCAGAGAGAATGTCATCGGGAAGGCTGTAAGTGCCCGGAGCATAAGGGTTTTGTTGGGCTGTAGCACAGGCTACATGTCAGAGGAGATACACTAGGCAGAAGAAAGCCCTGAACTCCTGGAGAAGCTACGATCTGGGTAAAGGTACAGGCGGGTCATGAGAAGATGGATCCCAAAGCAGTAAGAACCGAGGAAGTAAAAGGCAGCAGGATCTAAGGAGGCGGAAGGAAGAGGCAGGCAGGTCGCTAGGAGGCTCTTACAACAGGTCAGGGAATGCAGCTGAAGGAGAATGAAGGGAGCGGGGGAAAAGGGAGAGGCAGCAGATCTAGAATGTTCAGCAACGTGGAAGACAAGAGAGGGAGGGACAGCTGTCACAGGAAACTGAGAGACAGTCGTTCAACGACAGGAGGGACAGTGATGTTGTTCATAGGCCAGAGTGGAGAGGAACGTCATGTTTGTGGGAGAGAGGACGATGACTCATATTTTGAGCCAGCCAGCGATGCCCAGGAGACGCTGGAAAAGTGGGTCTGGATGGACACTCGGTGGTGGAGCTAGAGAAAGAGACGTGACCCTTCATCCCCTGCGAGTACCTGTAAGTCATGGCAGCGGGTGAGCGTGTCCGGCGTGACGGTGTGGAGAGGGAAGAGGAGAGAGCTGGGAGCTGGCCGGGCCGTGAGGTTGTTTGCCAGAAACACTGAAAGAAAATTGGCAAGGTGCGGGACCTCCCCCAGCCCTGTCCCCAAGCCTGGGAGATGGACCAGGGAGAGGAGACAGAATGCTGTAGAGAAAGCATTCAAGAAGACTGCCTTTAGAGGACGAACCCTGATTGTTGGTCTCAGAATAATCAAAGCCTATGATTATTTGCAGATTCCCCATCCTTTCTCCTTCTCTCTCTTTTTTCTTCCTTCTTTCTTTCCTCTCCGTTCTCCTCTCCTTCCTTCCCTTCTGCTTCCTTCCTTGCACGTTCTTGTTTTATTTTGGACTGGCCTACTGCACGGGTGGCCACTGTTGACCTAAGGAGGAGTTAGGACTCACCACGGTCGCCTACAAAGGGGTAACTGGCTTTTCAGTATTTGTCTTTATAGCTGATTGTAGTTGGGAGAGCATCTCTGCTCCAATGCTGCAACCCTCCGGGTCTGTTAAAGCATGAAATATATATTTGCGATATGACAGCAGTAACATTGTTGTAACTCTTTTTTTATATGACTTTTTACGTCTTTGTACTGCTCTCAAGAGCCACTCATAATATCTTGGTAACTGCATAAGGTCCCAGGGCCAGAGACCGGCCACTCCTGGCATTGTGATTAGAGTCATTTAATACCCAAGGCCATGACTAATGTCTGGCAACAAAAGCTCCGCTAGGTGTCACGTGTCCTGGGACCTTGCACGAGGGCAGAAAGGGAGCACCTTATTATTGTGTGTTATTACCATGGTTAAGAGAAAAGTTGAGGACCAGGTCGATCCATCCAGGGCACTGTTGAGAAATGAGAGACCCTCCTCTTCCCCCCGACCCTCAACACCATGATCAATATCAGGACAACCAGGAAGCCTGAAATCAGTTGAAAGTAGAGATACCCACCTTTGTCTTATCTTCAGACCCAGGCTTTTAATAATATATATATTTTTGTATGTTTACAGAAAGCAGTCAACTGAGCTATTCGTGGAAAGGTCTGTGGGTTTGGTTAACGAGGTGGAGGAGTATTACATTTCAGCTGGAAACACATCCCTAGAATGCCAAAACATTTCTTCCAAAGTCTGGTTTCCTGGTGCAATCGGAGGCATAGCAATAGTGTGTCTGTTCAGAGACTGGGGGTGGGTGGGTGGGGGGGTGCCGGGGCCAGCAAGGCATTTGATCCAAGTGTATTCCAGAAGGCTTTTATTGTTAAATTACATTCTTCAGGAAAAACCGCCCATGTCACATTTTGTAAACTTGATATCCATACACTTTTGACGGGCATTCTATTTTAGCCATAAGCCTATGATTTACAGCAAGCCTGTTTTCCCTCTTGCTTAGGGTGGCAGCAGAAAGCACGGGGTGCTTTCCAGGCTCCAAGGGTGAGGAGCGAAGGGAGGGCGTTTGCTTCTCCCCAACGACGCTGACTCTGGCGGTGCCACTCTGCTCTCGGTGAGCAGACAGCGAGCTTCTCCTCACTCCCCACTGCCATCCACCCAGCTGGGTGCAGCTCGGCTGCCTGCGTGCCTGCCGGGAGGGGCTGCAAGTGCCCTGCCTACTGGCTGCTTCCCGGCTCCTGCCGTTCCACACACAAACACATCCACACACGCTCTGCCTCGCTCACGCACGAAGCTACACGCACATGCGAGCACATTCCTCCCTTCATTCTCTGTGTCAGCCCCCGACTTCTACAAGCCCATGGAACATTTCTGGAAAGGCGCTCTTGATCCAGCAGGGTAGGGTTGTTTTGATTTCTCTCTTTGTAGCCTTAGCATTTTGAGAAAGCAACTTACCTTTCTGGCCAGTGTCTGTATCCTAGCAAGAGAGATGAGGATTCGCTGCTTTCAGTGGGTTTCTGCGTGTATCTTCTTTTCCTTCCAGGACTTGTAGGATTCTTTGTGGCATTTAGGTATAATTGGGTGGGCGCTGATTTTTAAGAGCCCCGTGAAGTGCTTTTGCATGTGTTTAAGAAAAGACATTTGAAAATTGGAAGTGTGATTTGTGGAAACGAAATCATCTGTAAAAAAAATTGCTTTGGAAAGTAATGGTTGCTGGCCATAAAGAGAAATATCTGTGATTCACCTAATGTGATTTTAACCCTTTCTTTGCCTATAATCTATGGCTGTTGATGCACAGCTCAATTTTGTCTTCATATGAATCCAACTACAATTGCATATTGTCCAAAAATGGTCTGTCTGTTCTTGTAAGAACTAGGGAAAATGTGTACTTATTAGTATTAAAGAAAAAACCCTACTCTTAGTAACAGCAACCTTGGCATTTATCTGTGCCGTGAACATTCTGTTAGGTACTCTGTCCGGTGTTTGGGATAGCAGTTAAAGCAAAGCATTGATGGTCATGTCAGAGACTTGTATCAGTCTATTAGGATGGGGCAAAGGAAGTTTATTACAAAGTATAAACTACCCAGGACTGTGGGTGCACAGTGTATTTACCATACCTTTTGTGTGTGTGTGTGTGTGTGTGTCTGTACACAGATACATATTGTTTGTGTGTATGCTTAGATTCTAATTCAGTTAAAAACTTTTTTTTCTATTTCTTTTTCATCAGAATATTTGATTCTGCATATCATAGCCAACGTGAACCGAGAAGGTCCAATTGCAGGAATAAAGAACAGAAATGTAGTACTGCAGGTCCAAATTCGTTGGTTAGACCAACAGTGTAACATAGTAGCCAGAGAGTTGGTTGATGAATTGAGGTCACATTTTGTATGAAAAGGTCACATTTCATATCCGACTTCCTGAAGTTTTGGTTGCATAACCTGTGGGAGACGCGAACACCCATGTGCGCCTAACCAAAGGTTTTTGTGAATCATCGTTCACATGAGAATTCATAAAGGGAGCAAGATCCAACACAAACATAAGCCGGGCTGGGAGCACCTCACAAGGTCGTGGTCAGAAGACCATTCTGGGACAGTTGTGCAGATGAGGAAACGGAGGTCAGGCACTGTGCTTTTGATGGCAAAGTGCAGCTCTTGCTGTAGGTACACCTTTCGATCTCCGTACCCCCCCCCCCCCCCCCCCCCCCCCCCCCCCCCCCCCCCCCCCTCCGGACTCCTCTCAGTCCCTGAAGCTGCTAAATATAGCTGTCTGTGGCTGGCTGCGCAGGCAACCGCACACCCCACTCTATCTGCCATATCTCAGTTACAGAGTGGCCCTCCCCAGGGTCATTCTGTGTACACACTACATACTTCCAGCCAACTGGGAGAGTGAATCCCACAGAAAGAGAGACAAACAGAGATAGATCGGAGGCTGGCTTGGGGGCACATAAGGCAGCACGGTACAGAAAGCCAGCCCTTGGCTTAGTCTTGAGAGTTTGTTTTAAACCTCATCTTCCGTGGGCCACCTTTAGGAGATCCCTCTGTCCCCCCCTCCCCATCCCCCCACCGTCCTCCTGCAGTGAAATTAGCCTCCTTTCCCGCAGCGACAAGTAAAGTAAAATTCAGGGAAGCTCCTCTTTGGGATCGCTCCAAGACAAGTTGCTGCCCGGAGTAATGTTTAAACCAATGTCAGTGCAAGGCAAAGGCCCCTGGCCGGCTTCCAGCACCTTTGTAATGCATATGAGCGCGGGAGACCGGTACTTAAAGTTGGAGGCTGCAGCCGGGAAGTTGGCTGAGCGCGCTCGCGCCGGGGCTGCACTTGCTCGCATCAGGCCGCCGGGCTCCACGGAGCCGGCCGGATCCCGGGGCAGGGCCAGAACTCGCTTCGCGGTGGGACATGCGCTGCGCCGCCTCTAACCGCGGGCTGTGCTCTTCTTCCAGGTGGCCGGCCGGCTGCTGAGCCCTCTGTCGCGCGGGGACACCGTGTGCGCCTTGCCCACGGCCACTGACCATGACCATGACCCTCCACACCAAAGCGTCTGGAATGGCCCTGCTGCATCAAATCCAAGGGAACGAGCTGGAGACCCTGAACCGCCCGCAACTCAAGATCCCCCTGGAGCGGCCCCTGGGCGAGGTGTACGTGGACGGCGGCAAGCCCGCCGTGTACAACTATCCCGAGGGCGCCGCGTACGACTTTAACGGCGCGCCCGCCCCCTCCGCGCCGGTCTACGGCCAGTCCGGCCTCGCCTACGGCCCCGGGTCCGAGGCGGCGGCGTTCGGCGCCAACGGCCTAGGGGGCTTCCCGCCGCTCAACAGCGTGTCTCCGAGCCCGCTGGTGCTGCTGCACCCGCCGCCGCAGCTCTCGCCCTTCCTGCACCCCCACGGCCAGCAGGTGCCCTATTACCTGGAGAACGAGCCGAGCGGCTATGCGGTGCGCGAGGCCGGTCCGCCCGCGTTCTACAGGTACCCGCGCCGCGCGCCGCGCCCCGTCGGGTGGCCCGCCGCGCGCCCGGCGGTCGGGAGGGAGCGGGGGCGCCGCGCCGCCCGGAGCTCGCGGGAGGCGGCGGGCCGCGGGGCTGGGCGCCGGGCACCACCGCCGCAGGGGCTGCGGGACGCGCGGCCCGACCCGGGTGGGGGGGAGGGGGCGCGGTGCGCGCGGGCCGTGCCGGTGGTGGTTTGCAGATCTCGGTTCGTGAGCCAAGTTCTCTCGCTTGGCGGCTTAAAGAAAATGCTATTTCTCCACCCCCTGTCATCTGCGTAAGAGGCAGCTCCGAAAACCAGTGGGCTTCCTAACCCATTTTGGAAAATCGTACAAAGCGGCGGTTATTTGTTAGGGGGGAACACCCCAAAGCAAAAGAAAAAAAAAGTCCAAAAAACCCGCAAAGCTCTTGGAGCCCCTAGTGAGTGTCTTGCTTTGGTATTTAAGGCTAGAGGTGTTTGGGGTTAGCAGAGCTCGGAGTTTAATTATTACTGTTATTTGAAATTATTGTCTTAATGTGCTGGCAAAATTTCCTTTCATCTAGAATTTCGGATTCGAAATATGCACGCTGCTATTATGATGACGATGATGCTTTTTGTTTGTTTTGTTTGTTTTGTTTGTTTCCCAGCACCTCCTTTCCCCCTTCCTCTCCATCCCAAGTTCAAGGGCTTTAGGACTGAATTGCGCTCCTCAGGAGAGCAGTAGAAGAATTGAATGAGTCTTAACAAGTTTCTGATTTCGGAGTTATCTGGCTGGGTCAGTGTTGGAGCAGATTGCTGGCATAGGACTTCTGACAGTCGCAGATTTATAGGTGTCTTGTGAGTTTAAAACATGCCGCATCAGAGAACATTTTGAAGTAACTCTTCTGCCAGCTAGATTACATCTCTGGCCTACGGGGTCAGGTGGGTTCTGTGTCTTTCAGCCTGTAGAAGTGGTGTTAGCAGTCCGGCACATACAGGAACACATTTGTGACTTAAGTGGCCAGTGTTTTGTGTCCTTATTCCCCCACTCCCCTAGGATTATACTTTTCTCCCTTCTCCCATTCCCCTTTGACAATTTCTCCTTTCTCTTTCTGGTGGACCTGGGGAGGGCTTAGGTGGGTGACTCTGATGAACACCCGTGCCCTAGGCATCCAAGGCTAGCTAGACTCTGGAGTGAGTTTGGAAGGCCTCAGGGTGCCCACATGACCCGGTGCTGAGTTAGGCACAGACTGCAGACTGGAGTCTGGGCTTGCCTCCTGCCCTCACCCGCACCCTTCTGGATTGCAAGGTGTAGACTGTTTTCTATTAGTGTTCTATTTCCAGAGATAATCATAGCAGAAGAAACAGGAGGAAGGTGCGGGTTGGCCCCGATGATTCTGAAGGGTGTACTCTTGGGGTATCTGAACATACCCCATATCTATGAGCCTCCTCGAAGGACCTTGGAGCATCCCACAGCCAAACAGGTTCAGACTGAATTATTACTTAAAAGGCAGAGAATGAACAAAACTTTAAAAAGTTGGCCTATTTCAAATTAATTTTACTTGTTTTCATCCAGGGTTAAAATGGAAAGAGAAAGAATTTCTTCTTTTTTTTTTTTTTTAAGTGTTAGAACAAAATATAACGATTAAGTCTTATTCTCACAACCTTTTAAACTCTTTGATGTGGAGGAAGGCACTGGTATGATGTGAATTCCATAACCTTATGGTGGACTCCAGAAACTGTTTTCCTCTCCATTTAATTTTCAGTTCTTTTATTGCAAATTAATCCTACTGAATTCAATGGGCACTAATGAGACTGCTCCTCGGTGGATTATTTACTGCCTTGCTAATAATTACAAAGTGAGCATGGTCACATAAAGAGGGGACCACATTTTATTCAGAATTGTTCATCATCCCAGTGGCAAATAATATCACTATAATGTGCCCCATCTTAAACTTTTTGCATTGGATGATATTCAAATATGTTTAGAATAACGACACAGAACTTGAATAATGAAGTAAAAACTCATACACATGGGATTCTATGTGGAAACTCAGTTTTAGAATGTTTTTTTTCTTTGTGGTTTATTTCCTATAACATCCTTACTCTTTGGTTTGAAATCTGCCTCTCAGGAACCAGGATGGAAGAGGTGACTTTATGCAAGTGTTGTTTCAGATGGACAGATGTTATTTAATATTTTTGCCCTATCATTTTTCCTGTTTGAATAACTCTGGGTACAAAGAATTGATCAGGCTCTTTTAGAAACCGTCTCTTATCGTCAGTAGTTTCCAAAGTTTAGGGGATTGAAAGCAGTGTTTTGAAACTGCTGGTCATAACCCAGGCAATCATGAAATCAGGTTAGTGAGTCTAGAACATTTTTTTAAAAAATAGACATGAATATAATAGAAGATATCAGAGTGCATGATATTTAGTAAGGGTGGGTTCTGTTCTGGAAAATTTGTTTTAATTCTGTATGCCTGTATGTGCCGACTATGATGTAAACTGTATTTCTTGCTGTGGAAGTTTGAAAGTTAGTGGTCTTACGTGTTATGGTCAGTAGAAACAAAAAATTCAGGGGAGTGGGTGGTCGTTTTAGCTACACAAACCAAAAAGCTATTTAAGTCGTTTTTATTTTCTTTTCCCCCTAGAAGTTAGCTGGTGTCTTCAGGTCAGTTAGATTACGCTTTACTATTTGTGATTCTTAAGTTTTCCATTTGTAAAATGATGGTGTCGTGTGGATCGTCTACCTGACTGTCCCACTGGGATGTTCAGAGAATTTAGCTGAACTTCACATCATTTAGCATTAAGACACTATGGTTACTTTCTTCTATTGGCTGCAGTATGCAGCCATATCTATCTATAAAGAAATGTGATAGGTAAAACTGCGCTGGGCATACAATAATGTGAGAAAAATGGTCACACGTCGCAACAAGTTTTTGAGAGGGAATGCATTTGTAAGCAGGCAGAGCTGTGGCTTTGCAGGATGGATCTTACCTGAAATTTCATAATGAAGGCAACTGGGACTCATCTCATGTGCAGTTCCTTTTTAGTGTTCAAACAACTTAGGAGGTTTGAATAAAACTAAAGATGAAATGTAATTATATCCACCATATTTTTAAAAAGTCAAATTAAGTATTTAGTGCTCCACATTCATTTCAGTTTTACTACCCAATATTACTAAAGCCTCATTCAACATTGCCCACTTCTTCCCGAAAACTTAACAGACGCGCAGAACTTTTGCATCGGAGTCCATGCCCTGTAATTTGTATGCTGGCTGAGGGCATATTTTGAGTGAATATTTCACTGGTGATCATTTAAAACTATTTCTCAACTTTGAATAAAGCTCATTTGTAGGGAGAGATTTGAATCGCTAATTTTCAAGTTTCCAATAATTCTTCCCTTGTATTTAGGTGATACTTTAGGACCCTTTATATCTGTTCTCATTTTACTCATTTAAGTTGTTACTGTTTGCCTGACGTTTTGCGTTAGTCTAAGAATAGTTGAAGGAGCCACATACTGCCTCGAGAATGAGTGTATTTTAGGTTGAAAACGGAATAGCATCTTGAATCCCCATTTCATTTTCACCTACTCCATGGGGCTTGTACCTGTTTGGTAAAAAGCTCCTGAAGGATAATTGCCACTTATTCTAATCTGCTTTCTCGAACTCAGTTAATTTGGGTCCTTGGATTGCTTTTGTGAATATATTTCGGATATGACGTTCAGAATTTGGGAAGATTCCGGTTTAGCATTTTGGTTTCCTCTTGTTTTAAGAATATAAAAGACAGGGGAGCAAGGAAACAAGTGCAGGAGCCATACATTATCAGGAAAAACTATGCAAGATGGCAAACTCTCTGTTAATGATAAGATATTAATAATTTTGTCAGGCGGGATAGTATATATGAAAGCAGTGCATAAGCTATCAAAGAGTTCAATATTTTATTATTTCCTCCACCTAGTAGTATTCATTCTGGTGCTTTTACAAGCTCAAAGATAGCAGGGAAGGACATATTTAAGTGGTCAGGAGTTTTCACTGGAAATATAAATTAATGATAATATGAAATCATTTTCTGTCGAAGTCAAATTTAAACAATATCTTTATCACCATCCGCAACATTTGTTTGCAGCCTGGCTTCTCATAAATAACATTTGTTTAAGATATATTTAAAAAAGCCAAAACCCTGATTATGTGAAAATAGTTTTACACAAGGAAAGATATGAATTATAATTATATATTTTTCTAAAACACCTACTGAGCACAAAACTAATACATCTGATTCCTTCTTGTGACGGCAGTATTATTTTTAATGTAACTTTAGAAGAACCCAGCACAAGGAATTGTGTGCTAGGTATGTTCCCTTCTTTCCAGGATCCATTGAATGGACAGGACAAATTAGTCATTTAGCTTCATTCCAAGACTCCGTTTGCTTAGTGAGGAAGGAAAGTGTAGAGCAGCCACAACTGTTCAGCACCAAGACGCACACCCCAGAGAAAGATGCTTTGTAAATCCCCCAAATGCAGACACTTGAACACAAACGAACCAAAGTGAAAGTGTGAGAGATTTCATAGAAAGAAGGCAGCCTGTCAAAGCCATTAAGTAGTGTTATCTTATGTTTTAAACTCTGCCAATGCATTCATAGATAATGCCATCTTTATTTTATAATTCTTTTTTAAAAATTTTTAAATGTTTTATTTATTTCTGAAAGAGAGAGAGAGAGAGATACAGAGATACAGAGATACAGTGTGAGCAGGGGAGGGTCAGAGAGAGTGGGAGTCACAGAATCCAAAACAGGCTCCAGGCTGCAGGCTCCATGCTGGCTGTCAGCACAGAGCCCGATGCGGGGCTCGAACCAATGAACTGTGAGATCATGACCTGAGCCGAAGTTGGACTCTTAACGAACTGAGCCACCCAGGCACCCCGATAATGCCATTTTTTTTTAAAAAGGTGTGTTTGAGCAGTCCCTTGCCCCACTTCTAAAACATAACACACCTGCTGCCTTCTGCGATCCAGAGAATTCAGTGGGCTG